ACCTGCACTTTACTGCAGAGTTAACTAATTAGGTTCCGCAATAAAGCGTCACAGTCTACATATGCACTGGTATTAGGGTGCAGTAAATTAACTAACTCTGCCATAGGATAGTACTGTCTGGCACAGTACTATCTTAGAGTGGAGTAGCTGCATGCACTTAAGTACACATGCAGACTGTGACAGGGGCTGCAAAGTAGGGGCTGCCTGTCGCCTAGCCCTGCACTGTAGCACCCTCATGCCCCATCCAGTCCAATGCTACCACCCAGAGCCCACAGCTATATCCCTGAGGCCCGTGCCAGCCCGAAGCTGCTCCACCCAACTCAAATTGCTGTGGTACTGAGCACACATGTAAATGCTGCACTCAGGAGCAGGTTTTTCCAGCACAAACTGCACCAGAGTTTATCACTCCAACTTAATTGCACATGTAGATGCAGCCAGAGAGAACATAGTTAGACATAGGAGTGTGGCTCCATTTCCCAGTAGCAGGCTCAGGCTCAGGCATATGTAATAGAGTAGCACTGGGAACTCCCAGTGCTCCTCTAGCAGAAGCTATATTACAGTTTTCCACTTTTAACCCATGCAAAGTAGGAATGAGTAGACAGGGTGTGTTTTCATGGTGGTACTTCCTAGCTCTGTCTAACATTGCAACATGGAGGCTGGTTGGGGAACACTAGGACTGGGAATCCATGAAAAAAGGACTAGAGATCAAAATTAAACAAAAGCCTGGGGAGGAAGGGAGACTGGAACTGGTTAAGCAGGGATTGGTGCAAGGAGTAGCATGGAACTGAGACTAAGGTAGAAATGTCATAAGTGAGAAACAAAGCCAAGTGAAATCTGGTATTTGGCCATTGAACCAAGAGGTGGAGACTGGAAATGACTAGTCAAGGAGATAGCACCTGAGATAGAGATGCCAAGGAGTGAACACAGGGGTGGAGACTAGGACTGGAACAAGACATAGGAACAAATGAATAGGGGGACACTGGAATGAGTAACTGGGGTAGGATGACAGGCACAGGGAGGACAGGACACAGGTGCCATGATTTCCAAATACCAACCTTCCTTTGTTATCAGCTAGTATCTTTGAATCCAACTGGCAAAAACCCCACTCTAATGCTGGTTCACACAGAGAATGACAATTAGGGCTGTGCAAAATTTCACTGAGTGTTTTGTTTTGAAGCTGTTTTGATGCATTTCGAGCTTGAAACAGTGAAATTGAAACAAAACAAAAACCATTGAAACAGCTTCAAAATTAAATGAAGGCATTTGAAACATTTTGAAAGTTTCAAAATGTTTCGAATTTCAAAGCAGCCAGGTGGTGGGAGGCAGAGGAGAGCCAGGGCTGCCCTCGGAGCAGCTCGAAGCCCCGTGTAGCACGGCTCCGCGGGGAGTGCTGCCCTGGCTCTCCCTGCCTTCTGTCGCCAGGCTCAGCTCCAATTGGAGCACAGCGCCGGCTCTGCCCACCTCCTGCCGTTGCACTCTGATTGGCTCCACCAGTCCCATGAAGCTCAGCCCGGTGGCAGCAGGTGGGCAGAGCCAGTGCTGTGCTCCACCTCCCACCACCGGGCTGAGTTCCATGGGGCTGTGAGCCACTCGGAGCTGAGCCCAGTGGCGGGAGTCTGGCAGAGCCCCATAGTCCTCCAGGGAGTGCTGGCAGGCCCCTGATCTGCCTGCCGGATAACAGGAGGCTGCTGGTACTGGCTCAAACTGGGGCTGGGCAAAGCCCACATCCAGCACCAGGAAGACTGATGCTGCCGCTGGCTCCAGTTGGCAGCAGCCTCCTGTCATCTGGCAGGCAGAACATGGGCTCACCCGCACCCCTGGGAGGGCTGCAGGGGCTGTGCCGGACTCCTCCCGGGTCTGCGGGCCCCCAATCTTCCTGCCAGATCACAGGAGGCTAGTTCTGCCACCTGGGGCCAGCGGCAGCACCAATCTTCCCGGCACTGGGTGTGGGCTATGCCCAGCACCAGTCCCAGGCAGCAGCAGAAGCCTCCTGTTATTCAGCAGGCAGATCGGGGTCCTGCACCCCTGGGAGGAGTCCAGCAGAGTCCTGCAGTCCTTGCATGGGTGCAGGCCCCTGGATCTGCCTGCTGGATGACAGGAGGCCTCCACTGCCATTAAGTAACAGGAGATTTTCTTGTCAACATCTTGAGGTACAGTTTCCCAGAAACCTATGCACCTATCTCTTTGAAACTTGGCAGGCTTCATGCCCTCAGAAGGGGCTACCATCCCTGCATGTTTCATCTGAATTAGGCAAAAAATGACAAAGCTATAGGCAGTTTCATACTTCCCTATTATAGCCTATGGGCAAAACGTCGAAAGTGTCAAAACAGCGAAACAGTTTTGACGAAACAAAATGGAACAGAGCTTTCAAAACTAAATGAAATTCAAAATGAAACACTGGTCCATCAAAACATCAAAATGGAAGTCAAAGTGGAACGGTGCTGTTTTGCACAGCCTTAATGACAATCTCATATTGCTTGGAGTTACACTCAGCTCAAATGGGAGAGGTTTTGACAGTAGATCAAAAAGCTCCAATGGTGATGGACCTTAATAGGTGCGAATAGGATTAAAAGGTGCTAATAGGATGCTATATAATAGAATTTCTCTTAGTTTTTTAAAACTAGGAAAGTACAGGAAAAAACCCACCTATTTTAAAAACTATTATTACCATAATTTTGAAAAAAACACATACTCAGATTTGGGAGCTGTCACGACTCTGGGTTGTCAGTAAGACCTTAAGTAGGCCATTTTCTGTGCATACATTGTAACACAGCCTTTCATTACGTACTATTTTTCCATAGCCCCCTTATCTCATTCAGTACCCAGGGTACCCCTGATTTGAGGAGGAATCCAGGCTGTGTAGAAAAGAATGGTGTCTCCAGAATTCCTGTCTCATTTGTTACAGACTTTGGAAGGTATTTTGTGCATATAGCAAGGAAATGTGGAAAGAGAAAGGGCAGTCTCATAGATGAGACAGGTGAATGCTGCCTTGGAGAGTCACTATGCTATCCCTGCCTCTAATCCTATGGCATGCAAAACTCTCCAAAGTTTGCTTGCAACTGTGCTGCCATGTAAGTCAGGGAGGGCCAGTAGGAAGCTTGAAGTCATTAGAGAGTTACAGAGCATCTGATGGGATGGCTTAGAGCAGTGGCTCTCAACCTATTTGCCATAGTGGGACATGCTTGCAGCTTAATGTGTTATGTGGGCTGCACCCACGCAACTTACTTCCTGTGTATCCATTTAAAAAATGTTTTAACAGGATGTCACAAGGGCTACAGCAGTGTGTTGACTGGGCCTCATGCAGCCCAGGGACCATGGTTTGAGAACCACCATAGAGCAGGACAGACACCTGAGCTCTAACCGAATCTTAGATGGTCTATCGATTTAATGCAATGGACCTCCAATTATTTCCTTGGCACAACAAACTTCAGCAAGAGAAGACTACCAAGTAAACTCTACCACTGCCAACACACTTAGTTTCTAGTTACCTTTGTGGCTCACAGGCAACAATATATCCCTATGACTTGTATGGATGCAGGGCTTCTATCGCCTTTATTGGAGCTGATGTCCGGAGAGGTACAAATTAAACCCTGTATGCAGATAGGGGGCTCCATAAATGTTAGCAATACCAAATATGACAAGCGAGAACCTGAAGATAGCTTTAAAACTGCATGCACTTCCCAGCTAACACTAAGAAGTTCATGATGGAAATGCCTCTATCAGGGCTGAATCCTTTTAAACTGCTATCTAGCTCCTGGTGTCCTATGGTACCCAGCTTTTGGGAGTCTTCTGCCATTACTGTCCTCATAAAAGGCATATATTTGTCACTAGTGTTCTCTGCCCTGCTCTCATTGCAGCAATGGTAGTGTTGGAGCAATTTCTTAGTTTAAGAAAACCCAATGTTCACTTGATAAAAAAAATAATTGCTTTAATAAGTCTTAACTGTCAATCAGAATTTCAAAATTTAATATCTATGATGCTTCTATGAAAATCTTAACTCTGAAATATGCTGTGTCCTGACTGCTTATGTGTTTTATTTGCAACTTTTGTATTTTATCCTGCATCTTTTAATGTTACAAAATTATTTTTCCAGCCAAAAGAATTTGGGTCAGAGGCCTGCAGGATTTCTCTTTAAATTTAGAAAATGGTAGCTTATTGCATGATAAACTATGATAGTGCATGATATTCATTATCCCAAAAAGCAATAAAGTAAGCACAGCACAATTAGGATATGCCCACAGAACAGGTTACTACTCCATGGAGGCACAACTGTGCCTAATAGAAACCTCTGTACAGTGTTTACTGACCACAGTTTTGCCAATAATAGTGATTTGCTGGTTTTCCAATTGCTTTTCAGCAAAAGAAATTAAGTGTTGTCAGTGAGGTGAAGCCTGCCTGCTTTTGCCTGGGTTTTGTTTTTGCTTTATTTATTTGACAAGTACTTCCTAATAACTGGGGGGGAAAAAGCTTCTTTTAGGAGTTGGTATCTCTTACAGAAAAGCTGTTTACATATCATTCTTGAGAAGACTTTAAAGTGAAATCCAAGTGTAATTCATATCTTCAAATGTGAAACTAACTCAGGAACACCACTGAGATTAAAACAGAGAGGGATAAAAAGGAGACACCATCAGACAATCAGGTTCAACCGTACAGTCAGTCTCTGTTTGATTGTAAAACTGGAGTTTTAACAACCAGACAAATGTCAAATATTATTAAGAAGGAAAAGCCCATGGACTGCCTCAATTAACAAATGGCAGAGCTTTTGAAATCCCCCTACTTGATGGGGGGGGGGGGGGGGTGTTATTAGTTTGTGTGATTTCCCAAATGCTGCAAAACTTGGTGTAAAAAAAATTAATATGTGGGTTCATCATCATCACCTGCATATTCATTATTACTACAACTTCTACCATTACTAAGAACTACTTAATTCTAAAAGTCAAAGTCAGCATGAGATTCAGCAGAGATCTCAAAGTTTGGAGGAGGAAGAGGTGGAAAGTTACCTGGTGGAGTTTCAAGAATGGATTTTTCTTTTTTGTTGGCTTTCTTCAGTTTTAACTCTTTCCTGCCTGGTCTGAGCCTTGGGGGCTTCTCTGTCTCTGCAGCAGGGACTGATTCTTCCTCTTCAGGTTGCTCGGTGAAAGGGGAATATTCCTCAGTGGGTTCCGGAAAAGAATAATAATGATCTCTGTTAATAATCTCCTGCAAGTAATAATCCTGATCCTCCATAGGTAGAGCCTGGGACAAATCTCCAAGCAGTGCCAGCCCAAAGGCACAGAGCGCAAGACAGAGCTGAGAAAAACATGAGCTTTTCTTGCTAAGGGAAATCATTTTTTTTTTGCACCAAGATCCTCTGTGAGTCCCAGATCCTTATTCAGCAGATAGGAAAAACAGAAACTTTGGCAGCTGGTGAATCCCAAGATTTGAAGAGGGAAAATTGCCCTGTCTATGATAAGTGCTTCTGCTTTGGACTAGTTTGCAAAAGTTACAAGTAGTGCAGTGGGAGTGAAGGCTGAGGAGGGAGGGAGGCAGGAGCTGGAGATGCATGTGATCATAGGGCTCACAAACCAGACACATGTACAAACACACATAGGGAAGAGAGAGAGCTCTGCTCTGCCGGCTTTTGGCAGGTGTGACTTTCCAGAGCACTCTTGCTTGCTTGCTTGCTTACATTCTTTCCTGCAAAAAGCAGAGTTACAAGATACTATTTCAGCTAACTCTCTGGGCTTTCAAGTCACAAAGATTCCAGTGCTCGTGCACAGTTGATCCTGGGCTGCATTTATTTTAAAAAAATATCAACAATCCTTCAAATCCAAGTTGATGCATAAATATATCTCACCTTAATTAGGGGGGGAGGGGGGTATGTTTGTGCACACACGCACATGTAGATCAAAGAAAGCTGCCTATTTCTGTGTTTTTATAGTAAAGTTCACTAAGTCTGTGTACATCTTTATTGTCTCTGTGTGTCTGTATATACAAATAGTATTTTATATCTTTTCTCTTATTTTTCTTTTTATTTCATATACATTTATTTCCTCTCTCTAGATCTATAGCAAGCTCATCCATCTTTCATTCTTCCAGTGAATGTGGAGATAGACTATAGGAGGTGCCTGTTTTACAGATGTGCTACAATTAAAGACAATAGGTGAAGCACCTTTGAAAACCAGAGCATATATGTCTCCTCAGAAGTCATTTCCCCTGTGTGACAGGGCAGAAGTCATGCCCTGTCCCGAAGCACAAAAAGGCAAGGGAGCTGCAGATGGGGAGTGCTTCGTATGCACGTTGAGAACCCTAGTAAGGCATGGGAGACCAGGATGTGGCTCTAATTGATTTTTGCTGAGCGCTGCAGGAGCAAGAGTAGACAGAGGAGAAACCACCAGATAGGCCCTGACCCAGAAGTTAAAGCACTGGAGCCAGGTGAGAGGTTTGCCCCAGAGAGGGGAGACCCTTGAGAGCAGGACCTCATGCAGCTGCATGGAGGTGTAGCAACTACCCAACCCCAGCTGGGGGTCCGCAGAGCCAGCAGAAGAGGATCTGCAGCAACAAAACTTGTCTGAATGAAGATCCAGTGTAAGAACATCACATCGGAGGTTTGTAAGACGTTAATCCAGTGAGTGAAGCATGCTGGGTCCATAGCCTAGAGGAAAGAAGAGAGAGGCCAGCTGGGGAGAGCTGCCCTGTGAAGGGAGGGGCGGTTCGCCTCTGCAATGGGCACAGAACTCAGAGCCAGCCAGGGGACTGAGTAGGCTGGCTATGCTGCCCAGTTGGGACCCTTGATTAAGGACAGAGCTGAACTGAAGCTCTGGTGCTATTCTGAACATAGGTCAAAGGGCGGGGGTGGGGGAGATAATCATGATTTGGAGGCATTCCAACAACTCTGTGAATGCACTAAGAACAGACTAAAATTCAGAAATTACACCCCTAAACATCTGATGTGGTAAGGGCAAGGTATGGAGATGGAGGAGCCCTGCGAAGATGCTGGGCAGCCGGAGGAATTGTATTAAGAAACAGCAGTTTGCCTCCCAGTATTAACTTTTACCTTTGGATTTGCCTTAACATCAAAGGCAGGGCGGGTGAGAAACAAAGAGCATAAGCAGTAGACCTGTGTGAAGTGGCTAGTATTCACTTTGGATTCGGATTCAGTCGATTCAGGAGACAATGATTTGATTTGGGGATTCGAATTACTGTCCCGAATCGATTTAGCCAAATCTGATTCAAAGATTTGGCCACCGCCAAATTGGCCAAATCTCCAAATCAGCTCCATCCCCGACCCACTCTCAATGGCTGCCCCACCCACTCTCCCCGTTCCTGGCTCTTTAAAAAAAAAAAAAAAAAAAAAACCCCCACACCCGGGCGGG